TGAAACAAAATTGAAATTTCTTTGTCGTATAACTGAGCCATTTTAACTGAACAAACAATGATTGTCTCGGCTGATATCAAAGCATGGCAGGAAAAACACAAAAAGAAAAGAATAGTTTTTTTTTCTTTTTCAAAAGAAAAACTTACACTTTCCATCATTCATTTTTGGCGCTTATACGTGTTTGCGACGCATCTTTGTATATTTCTCTTCTATCTTGTGTCTTTCAATTGCTTTTCAATTTTAAAGCTAGACTTGCATCAGAATTCATTTGCTAGAAAGGAACACACCGCCCTCGTCAAGTTCTAAATCAATTACTGCCGCGTATTTCCTTAATTAAACGCCTTTGGCGTTTATTTTAAACTTGATCCGAGTGGTTTTCCGGCCGCGTTATTGGTCACTTTTGACAGCTATATATCTCGTCTTGACCTAGAGAGGTTTAACTTGAATAGAGACCGCTGGGGACGAGTCAGCTAGAGATCCGGCTGGCGTTTAACTGGGACGCGGCGATACATCGAGAAAATACCGGCCGCAATCGCCGTTCCTCACAACGCGGCTAATGGTCGTAGTTTTACCGAAAAAAATTAAAGATTAGGTCCGACAAAATACAATCAGATGGCCACGAGAGAACGAGATTAACTCGCGGCCTCACTCGCTCTCTACATTCCGCTCTCTACATCCCCCCTCCCCCCGTCCCCAACGCTTTCCCCCAAAAGAAAACTACCTCCCCAAGCTTCAGTGATGCTGCAGGCAAGGCCAAAGAATGCAAAATCCTTTATTTAATTTAAAAAAAAAAGACAAAATAAAATAAAATAAAAGACGCGGATACTTGAAAGCCGACAGCGTCACTGAGTTAATACTTTGAACATGTACAAACGCCAAGTAGAATTTTCGATCTTTAAAACTAGTTTGAGAGTTTTGCTTGTATGCTGTTACTGGAATGAGCCAGTGTCCCCAACCTAGTTTATTCTTTTCTTTACCCTCATTAATTCAAGGGGAGCACTGAGGTTTTAGTATGTTGTCGGCTTACGCCGTTTATTTCTGCAGCGTGAGGCATTAGAAACGACTTGTGGCCTTTCGCAAGCTTGTTTCAATGTCGAACAGTGCAGTGCATTTATATCTTTACGAGACAATTCGACGTCGTGCTGTGTTTTTGAAACAAATGTAGAACTTATAACTTCATTGAAAGATTGCCTTTAAGCCCTAAAAGCAGCTTATAGTACGTAGCCATAACGGTCCAAATTTATTTCGTTTACTTTTTCTCTGCACCTAACAGCGGTTCTAGAGGAACAAACAGACTCTGAGCCCAAGGAAACTAAAGAAGTGGGGAGTAACATGCACTCTCAGATGCTCTGCGAGCTGCAACGTGTCAAAAAAGAAATGCTGGAAAACAGTCAACTCGTCAGCAAACCAGAAGTGTAAGTGATAACATTCAATATAATTAACAAAGTTACAAGTGAATATATGAAAGATGTAAAGACATCAATGATCATCGCAGTTAAACACACAACTTAATAAGCAGCTGTGAAATTAAAGCCTAGATAAATTCTAGCTTGAACGGGATTGGAACCCATGACTTCTACGATACCGGTGCAGTGCTCTACCAACTGAGCTATCAAGC